GCCTTTTTTTCTCCACACATAGTGTTGTGTGTTCTTCCCAAACAACTCAATCTTGGTTTCATCTGTCCACAGTATATTTTGCCAGTAGTGCTGTGGAACATCCAGGTGCTCTTTTGCAAACTTCAAACGTGCTGCAATATTCTTTTTGGACAGCAATGGCTTCCTCCGTGGTGTCCTCCCATGTACTCCATTCTTGTTTAATGTTTTCCTTATTGTAGATGTGTCAACAAAAATGTTAGCATGTGCCAGAGATTTCTGTAGGTCTTTAGCTTACACTCTGGGATTCTTCTTTACCTCATGCAGCATTCTGCGCTGTGCTCTTGCAGCCATTTTTACAGGACGACCACGCCTAGGGAGAGTAGCAACAGTGCTAAACTTTCTCCATTTGTAGACAGTCTGTCTTACCGTGGACACATGAACATCAAGGCTTTTGGAGATACTTTTGTAACCCTTTCCAGCTTCATGAAAGTCAACAATTCTTGATCATAGGTCTTCTGAGAGCTCTTTTCTGCGAGGCATGGTTCACATCAGACAGTGCTTCTTGAAACCAGTAAACCCAAAACAGGTGTGTGTTTTTTAAGGGCAGGACAGCTGACAGCAACACATCCAATATCATCACACTGATTGGAGTCAAGGTTGGCTCACTCCTGGCTCCAATTAGCACTGGGAGAAGTCATTAAGCTAGGGACTCACATACTTTTTCCTCACTGCACTGTGAATGTTTACATGTTATGTACAATTAAACCATGGCAACATCTAATGTTTGTGTAGTATTATGTTCAGCAGACTGTGTTCTTCTATTGTTGTGACTTAGATGACGTTCAGAGCACATTTTATGCCCAATTCATGCAAAACTCCACGTAATCCCAAGGGGTTCACATACTTTTTCTTGCAACTGTATATACAGTGAGGAACAGAAGTATTTGAACACCCTGCGATTTTGCAAGTTCTGCCACTTAGAAATCATGGAGGGGTCTGAAATTCGCATTGTAGGTGCATTCCCACTCTGAGAGACAGAATTTTAAAAAAAAAATTCAGGAAATCACATTGTATGATTTGTAAAGAATGTATTTGTCTTTCACTGCCGAACATAAGTATTTGGACACCTGAGAAAATCAGTGTTAATATTTGGTACAGAAGCCTTTGTTTGCAATTACAGAGGTCAAACATTTCCTGTAGTTCTTGACCAGGTTTGCACTGCAACAGGGATTTTGGCCCACTCCTCCACACAGATCTCCTCTAGATCTGTCAGGTTTCGGGGCTGTCGCTGAGCAACACGGAGTTTCAGCTCCCTCCAAAGATGTTCTATTGTATTTAGATCTGGAGACTGGGTAGGCCACTCCAGAACCTTGATATGCTTCTTACGGAGCCACTCCTTGGTTATCCTGGCTGTGTGCTTCGGGTTGTTGTCATGTTGGAAGACCCAGCCACGACCCATCTTCAATGCTCGGACTGAGGGAAGGAGGTTGTTGCTCAAAATCTCACAATAAATGGCCCCATTCATCCTCTCCTTAATACAGTGCAGTCATCCTGTCCCCTTCGCAGAAAAGCACCCCCAAAGCATGATGTTACCACCCCCATGCTTCACAGTAGGGATGGTGTTCTTGAGATGCAACTCATCCTTTTTCCTCCAAACACGATGAGTGAAGTTTAGACCAAAAAGTTCTACTTTGGTCTCATCTGACCACTTGACTTTCTCCCATGCCTCCTCTGAATCATCCAGATGGTTATTGGCAAATTTCAGACGGGCCTGGACATGTGACTTAAAGCAGGGGAACCTTCTGTGCAATGCATGATTTGAAACCATGATGGCGTAGACGGCGTAGTGTTCTACTGACAGTGACCTTTGAAACTGTGGTCCCAGCTCTCTTCATGTCATTGACCAGCTCCTCCCTTGTAGTTCTGGGCTGATTCCTCACCTTTCTTATCATCAGTGATACCCCACAAGGTGAGGTCTTGCATGGAGCCCCAGTCCGAGGGAGACTGACAGTTGTCTTTAGCCTCTTCCATTTTCTAACAATTGCTCCAACAGTTGATCTATTTTCACCAAGCTGCTTGGCAATTGCCCCGTAGCCCTTTCCAGCTTTGTGGAGGTCCACAATTTTGTCTCTGGTGTCTTTTGATAGCTCTTTGGTCTTGCCCATGGTAGTAGTTGGCATCTGACTGACTGTGGGGTGGACAGGTGTCTTTAAAGAGCTCAGACAGGTGCTATTAAGTTAGATTAATGAGTGGAGTAGAGGTGGACTTTTTAAAGGCACAGTAACAGGTCTTTGAGAGCCAGAATTCTTGCTGTTTCTTAGGTGTTCAAATACTTATGTTCAGCAGTGCAAGACAAATACATTCTTTACAAATCATACAATGTGATTTCCTGAATTTGTTTTTTAAATTCTGTCTCTCAGAGTGGGAATGCACCTACAATGTGAATTTCAGACCCTTCCATGATTTCTAAGTGGGAGAACTTGCAAAATCGCAGCGTGTTCAAATACTTCTGTTCCTCGCTGTATATACACCATGTTCCAAATTATTATGCAAATGATATTTTTCTCATTTACCTAAATAATTGCTGTAAATAACAGTCAGCATAATTCTCATGTTATCAACTATTAAGAGTACAATTTAAATTTTATTGAACAAACCTCCTAATGATAACAGGATTTTAAAAACGTACAATGCACTGTTCCAAATTATTACGCACAGTGAGTTTCAAAACACTTTATAGGTTGTAAAGAACTGAAAATTGTCATTTTTTGTGTTTGCAGCATATTTACTGAAATCAAAAGCTATTTCAGTCAAACATTTAACAACATTTTAACTTTTTAAACATTTTAACAGGTCACATTACATTGTAACATAGGACCCCTTATTTGATAGCAGCTTCACAAGTCTTGCATCCATTGAACTTGTGAGTTTTTGGACAGTTTCTGCTTGAATTTGTTTGCAAGATGTCAGATTAGCCTCCCAGAGCTGCTGTTTGGATGTAAACTGCATCCCACCCTCATAGATCTTTTGCTTGAGGATGCTCTCTTTTGCTTGAGGATGAGGAAGGTTCTCAATAGGACTGAGGTCAGGGGAGGATGGAGGCCACACCATGACTTTCTCTCCTTTTATCCCCATAGCAGCCATTGATGCAGAGGTATTCTTTGCAGCATGAGATGGTGCATTGTCATGCATGAAGATGATTTTATTACGGAAAGCATAGTTCTTCCTTCTGTACCAGGGAAGAAAGTGGTCAGTCATAAACTCCACATACTTTGCAGAGGTCATCTTTACACCTTCGGGGACCCTAAAGGGGCCAACCAGCTCTGTTCCCATAATTCTGGCCCAAAACATGACTCCACCACTGCATTGCTGACGTCGCAGCCTTGTTGGAACAGGGTGGCCGTCCACCAACCATCCACTACTCTTTCCATCTGGACCATCCAGGGTTGCACGGCACTCATCAGTGAACAGGACTGTTTGAAAATTAGTCTTCATGTATTTTTCTGCCCAGTGCAGCCGTTTCTGCTTGTGAGCATTGGTTAGTGGTGGCCGAATAGAAGGTTTATGCACAGTTGCAAGACTCTGGAAGACTCTACACTTTGATGTCCGTGGGACTCCAGAGGCACCAGCAGCTTCAAATATCTGTTTGCTGCTATGTAATAGTATTTTAGCAGCTGCTCTCTTGATCCGATGCATGGATCTGGCAGAAATCTTCCTCAATGTGCCTTTATCTGCACGAACCCGTCTGTGCTCTGAATCAGCCACAAATCTCTTAATAGTGCGATGATCACGCTTACGTTTTCGTGAAATATCGAATGTTTTCATACCTCGTCCAAGGCATTGAACTATTTCACTCTTTTTGGCAGCAGAGAGATCCTTTTTCTTCCCCATATTGCTTGAAAATGGTGCTCTGCTTAATAACGTGGAATCCCCCCTCCTTTAGTAGTTTTTACTTAAATTGGGCTCACTGGCCAATCTAATTATCACAGGTGTCCGAGATTGTTTTCAGTGATCAAAAGAGCCCTGACACACAATGCCATCAATGAGTTAAACTGAAAAACAAAATATTTCATCTTTGTGACACTTAAATAGAATTTGCATAATAATTTGGAAAGCAGTGTGTATGTATACATATATATATATATATATATATATATATTGGCTACATCTTTTTCTGTAAATATTTTTATTGCACCCTTTTGAACTTTTAGTAATAAATCTTACTTTCTGAAAGTGTTGAACTGTTTCTAAAGCTCTTTAATGAAAACTTAGCACCCCTGCCTCTGAAGAGCGCTACTGTGTGTGTGTTTTAAACTTCGGTATATCGCTGCCTGCGGTGACAGTGGTATACCGACGCTTATGCAAACATCATAGTGTTATTGCTGATATTGCCGAGTTTCCTCTTTCTCTGTACAAAAAGGAGGTGGTGGCAGTGTGAATGGTTAATTGCGTAATTAACCTAACCCAGTAACAATCGCTCTCAGGCTACTGGCACATAGGTTGTGGTCCATTAGCTGGAAAATCTTTGTGCAGGGTGCAGCTGGGCGTGGCATTGTTACGCACGTGACAGCACGGTTTTAGATTGGCTAGTCCTTCGGTCACAAGTTTGGTGAGAAGGGCTGGGGTCTGACGCCGCGATCGTCACAACAGTCACTTAATTTAAATTTAATTGCATCATATGCGCGATGGTGGGACCCTCCCTCTGAATACCATATATATATATATATGTGGTGTCCTATAAACCAAACATAGAACTTTATAACATTCAAACAAAAATTTCAAAATATAAAATTGCAGCATATTAGTGATGGTGACACCTCTACAGTGCTAATTTATCCAGCCCCGATGGAGCCCCAAGAGCACCTGGGGCCCCTGGGCAGTGCCTACTCAATAAGATGGCCCTGGTAGGAAAGCCTTCTATAATGAACAACCATAAGCAGGCATATATCTAAAAGTATGTATAACAATTTTATCCCTCAGATTCCATACAGTGTACACCTAAGGTTTCAGTAATGACTTACCTTGCCAGCTTGCTCAGTCCAACTACTTTTCTGTTTGGCATGTAGCCAATATGAACCTGTGACAGCAAGAGAAGACAGATTTATTTAAATATTCCAGGTATTTATACTGTATAGTGCCAACAATTTATGCAGTGCTAGACATATTATACATTCTCATCAGTCTCCGCCATCATGGAGCTTACATTCCAAGGCCTCCCATCTTATATGCATCCATACACACACTAGAACCAATTTAGACAGTTAACCTACCAGCATGTCTTTAGAGAGTGGGAGGAAACCAACAAAAGCACAGCACAGAGAGAGAACTATTGAATTACTTTGAAATCCAGGATGATCCAGTAATGATATGAAACGGGTGGCAACTCTTCTCTGACCCCACTCCCCTTTTCTCGTTAGAGTCTCATTCCTCTTTGTTTCCCCTTGTGTCTTTCTGCTCTCTGTCTCTTCTCTATCTCTGGTCCCCTGCCCATGTCTCCCTTCCCATTTCCTCCTGGTTATAGGCTCTTAAACCCCTTTTCATACCTTGCCAAAAAATGGTACCAAGTGATGTTCACAAAGAGAAAACACCTCGATATCCTTCACAATGACAATCTCATCATGGTTCTCATCAAATATGGCGTTGTTGAGTATATCTGGAAACACAAATTATACACAAATTATACTAACATGAATTATCAGTCTTATTATAACCATAACACACAAAAAGTGTTTGCTTAATCAAAGTAGTTTAGTTACTTTATTAAAGTATAAAGGACTGTTATTACAAAAATATAGTTTTAATAAAACTAGTACACTCAGAATCTGGTGCAGCTGTGCTTGGTAGCCAATCAGCTTCTAATTTGAGCTTGTTACTAAACCTTGGACCCTGCATTAACTATATCTGGTCTCCCACAGTACACAGAATATGGAAATGCATTAATTATTTTAGTAAATACAATCTGCTAAATAACTTTTCTCATCAGTAGTTAGAACAGTCTTATGACTTCTATCAGTGTCCAGCAGAGCACTGGTTGAAGCATGTAGGAGTTTTCATTCTCCCCCAATTGTCCTATGAGGCTGCATAACCCTTGACCCTCTGTCTGGACAGTGCTGATTGGCCTTGTGTTGATCACATGCACTCTCTCAAGAAAAACAAAACTCTCTAGCAATACAAATCCAAACTGAGCATGTGTAGAGTGTCTTCTAGGGCTCTGTGCTATCAGCAAATGGATTGGGGACAGTAGAAGAAGGGGAGGATCAGAAAAGACAGGATCAAACATCCATAGTGAATATAACAAGCATGCTTTACTGCAGATACAGACTGATTTTACTGTTGTTGGTTTAGTAACACTTTAAGCTTTGACAATAATACATGGAAGCTGATTGGTTTCTATGTAGAACTGCACCAGACCCCCAAGTGTCTGCATTTAAAACTTTGGTAATTAGGTAAGTTACAGAGGAACTGCCATAGACTGCTCATGATGCATAGATTCTCCATTGACCCACACCCTGCTGAGAGACTGTAAGCTCTGGTTCACACTGAGTGCGGCTTTGAAATTTCCCTTGAAGTTGCGTGATTTCAAAGCCACTGGTCAGTGTGATTTCATCTGTGGCTTGCCTGACGTCTGTGTGACTTCATTCACAAATGTTTATGCCAGTCGCACATGAAATCGCCAAAAATAGTGCAGCAAAGTCTGAGTTGCACGATTTCAATGGTTCCATAGGTACAAATAGGGTATGGCTTGTCATGTGATTTGGAACTTTCAAATTGCATGACAAGTTGCACCGGTGTGGACCAGGGCTCACAGACTGCTGGTGGGAGAGAGAGAGGGAAAGAGAGAGAATGGAAGGAAGAAAAGGAAGGAAGGAAGAAAGAGAGAAAGAAAGAAAGAAAGAAAGAAAAAGAAAGAAAGAAAGAAAAAGAAAGAAAAAAAAGAAAGAAGAAAGAGAGGACAGATGGAAAGAGAGGACATAAGGTAGGAAGGAAAAAGAGGACAGAAGGGAAGAAGGAAAGAGAGGACATAAAGGAAGAAGGAAGGAAAGAGAGGAAGGGAAGGAAAGAGGTGGAAGGAAGGAAGGAAGGGAAGGAAAGAGGTGGAAGGAAGGAAGGAAGGAAAGAGGAGGAAGGAAGGAAAGAAAGAGAGGAGGAAGGAAGGAAAGAAAGAGGAGGAAGGAAGGAAGGAAAGAGAAGGAAGGAAGGGGGGAGGGAGGGAGGGAGGAAGGAAGGAAGGAAGGAAGGAAGGAGAAATGGCAATATACAAAATATTTGCTAGAGTTTGTATGAAAGGAAGGGTTGCCAGAGGCTGCACCATACAATGATACTGGCAGAGATTGTACTAGACAGAGGGACTACCAGAACGTCTACCATACAGGAAGACTGCACCTTACCAGGTGACTGCCAGAGACTGCACTGCATAGTGATACTGCTAGAAACTGCCATACAGAAACAGTGCACCACAAAAAGAAACGCCAATGAACCTGCGCCACACAGATTACCAGAGACTGTGCCTTATGGGGATAACAATTTCCTTCTCTTGTTCTGCTGCTCTATAGCTTTACGCATAACAGGAAGTTTTCAGTGTACGCTCTTAATCTGCAAAAAAAGTACCCCCTCAAGGTATTGGTAACATGATCTATGCCTAAGGTCTGGTAAGTGCGACAATTACACACTGGCCAGATATGCCTGAATATTAGCTTCAGCAGAGATCATGGGCTCCGATACTGGAGGGTAAATAGCAGCTTCTCCAGAATAGTCATGAAAGAACTCCGCTGAGTACCTAAGGCTATGGAGTAAAGACAGTAAAATATGTTATTTACCAGGTTCAAGAGAGCAGAATACACATACCATTCAACCACTACTCTAATCCACATATAAATATATATATATATATAAAAACATACATAAGGTGCAGCGCTATAATAGTAAAAATGGCATATATAACATATTAAAATATAATATAAATAAAGTGCAAATGTCAAATCACACTGCGGTGAGGTTAAGTGAGATGAAAAGTCCCAAAATAGGTCAAACGTGGGGATCCAATAGATCCTAGTAGGTGCGTGGGATGAGATTCTGTGTATTACACGGTGAATCTGGGGTAAAAAATTGCGCACTCACCAGAAGTGCGTCAAAAAATGCATGTAAGATTTATCCTGTGGCATCGGATAGCAGTCATCAATTGCCAATATAGGGACAGGATCATACACCTTCCAATCGCAACTTGGGTAAATACTTCAAATTTCATATACGTGTCTCAGGCGTGTCACCATCCGGGGTCCCCTTTTAGAGCAGATTCTGCAAGTGGGGACTCTCATAGAAGAGAGCCCAATAAGGGACACCACATAGCGTGATACCGTATAAACTGGGTTTATTAAAGGTACAACATGAATTGTGGAGGTAAAATGCAAATAAAACACTGACCAGATTATAATCAGGATGGCCACCTGCGGTGGTCAGACGTCCAGATACTGCAGCCCCGCTGACGCGTTTCATGCAGTGCACATTATCAAAGGGTCCTGGGCTTACCCAGGTCTTTTTATTACTACTCTAATCCAGCCCACCAGAGACTGCTGGAAAGGTTTAGACTTCCCAAGAAACCTGAAACCTACTAAGGGCTATACATACCATCCCCACCTCCACTATATAGAGCCCCGGCCAGGAAATTAGAGCAAGGACTGCATTATAGAGAGGCAATAAAATAAAATAGACTGATTAGGGTGGAAAATTATCATCAAAACAGTATGGGTGAGTTCTGATCCTGGTTCACCTGAGCAAGCCACCAGAAAGTTGTCACCTGTACTTGGCCAATCTGAAGCCAGAACATGACCATGCCCCTTGTATACATGTGGCTGTGGAGCATGGAATGTTCCAGCTGCAGATGAATGGCCCAGTACAGGGGGTTACCTCTCGGCAGGCTCATTCAGGTGGGTTCAAAATAGGATCTGAACTCCCCCGAGCTCACCCCTACCCAACAGTGACTGCATCCTGTCAGATGCAAAATGGAGATTTCTTGATCCATTAGCATGGATGGGGAGATCGATCGATCTTGATCTTCTTCAATATTGGGCAAAGCTGCACAGTTTGTTTATCTACAGATGTCCCTGTTCTGCATGGGCAGTTTTTGGTGAAGGTGAACTATGCTTTTTAGCCCTGGTTCACATTGAATGCGGCTTTGAAATGATGCTGCTTAGGTAATTTCATGTGCAGCATGCCGACATCTGTGTGACTTCATGAACAGATGTCAATGCAAGTCACACATGAAATCGGCAAAAATAGTGCAAGAACCTTTTTAAAAAAAATTGGTGTGAGTCAGAGTCACACCGATTTGAACAGTTCCATAGGCTCAAATAAGGTGCGCCTTGTCATGCGATTTTGAATGGTCAAAGCGCGTGACAAATCGCATTGGTATGAACGGGGGCTAAAGGAATATTAAACTCTATGTTTAAAAAAAAAAAACACAACTATTCAAGTATGCATTCTCAATGCAACAATGTTTCTTCTATTGCTTCTCCTCAGCCTCCTCCAAATTCCTTTGTCGCTGCTTTGATCTGCCTTCCTGTTAGAGGGTGGCTACAGTCTCTGCATTCTCCATGTCCCAATGTACGTAGGGACATAGCCACCCTCTCTTGCACTCTCCTGTGATGCACTATGGGAAGTGTAGTGTGCAGTGCTCATAACCGCAGCTAACATGTACTTCTCCTTCCAAGTCAGGGGGGGGGGAAAGGAGAGGCTTGGGAGTTCACAGAGGACATTACAAGGAGGAGAAAAATACAGTAAGAACAATTTCATGAAAAATAGATACTGAGATCATCAAGTAGTGGATATTTAGGGATTATTTTTGAAGAAAAAAGATATCATTTAGTGTCACTTAAAGTACATGTACCTTCTGGTTCATAGAGGAAAGTGAACCTGTTTGGTTTTTTTTTTGCGCAGAACGCAAAAACTGCCAGTTTATTTAAGGTGCCATAATGGTAACATGGCCAATGTACAAAGTATAATGGTGAGGTGCAAACAGCAATCCAAAGCAAAATCTGGTTTTAAAGATTCTTCTTTATAGAAAAAAAAGTGAACTAAGCACCATATATCACAATCAGTGGCGGACTGACAACTCATGGGGCCCTTGGGCAATAAGAAATCATGGGGCCCCTGAGTCATCGCCCACACTCAAATCACACCGAAAAAAGCCTATGAAAGGTATCAGGGGCATCTCTTGGGACCCCTTACTGACCCTGGGCCCTCGGGCAGTGCCCAGGTGGCTCAATGGTCAGTCCGCCCCTGATCACAATCAATTGTTCTCTCTTCTTTTACAGAATACAATTTTTTTGCATCTAAAAGCTGCTGATCTCCTCCTGCCCACATGCACTTATTCCAGCATTAGCTGCATACTCTTGCTCAGAACTGGGTCCCTGAGGGTGACAAGAGTGAAAATGCCTGTACATTGAGCACTGGCACAACTGTTCCAGGGGAGGTGAATGTGACAGGGTGACAACTCAGAAGAACAATTTGGAGGCCAGGACAGGGTGTTGTCACCCTATACCAGGGAGTGCTAGACCAGGGACCTTCATGGAAGGTTTATGAGATAATATTTTTTATGAAAGCTGCATATTTAAAGTGATTCTAAAGGTTAACATTTTTAAAGAAAAATAACAAACACATATATATACTTGCTCTGAGCAATGGTTTTGCACAGAGCAGCCCAAATCCTCTTCTTTTTGGGTCCTGCCCGAGTGCCCCCAATAGCAGACTTGCTGCTGAGCCGCATTCCTGTGGATAGACTTTGTCAGAGCATAGCTTGGTCCTACTCCCGCTCTCTCCTCATTGGCTCACTGGCTGTGATTGACAGTAGCTGGAGCCAATGGCTCCCGTTGCTCCATGAGCCAATGAGCAGAGAGAGTCCTGGGACAGCTGAGGCTCCCGTGCACATCGCTGGATTGAGATGGGTCTCAGGTGAGTATTAGGGGAGCTGCACCCAGAAGATTTTTTGCCTTCATGCATAGAATGCAGAAGATAAAAAACCTTCTGCCTTTAGAACCACTTTATACATGTTATTCTATATGTGAACCATCACCTTCTAAAACAACTCATTCAGTTTAAAATAGAAATGAAATGTAAACATTATAATATTTTTTTCCTTTTTTATAAGTGATCACATTCCCTCTGTTCTCAGCTGCATATGTGACTTCACTTTAACTATTTAGGGCTCATTTACACTTCTGTTGCCCTCTGAAGGGCAGTATGCATTGGGTTACTCTTCAGAGGGCATTGGACAGCTGGTGAGGAGGCATTATGACCCCTCAGTACTGCCTGTTTTAACCCAAAAAAACCTGCACCATTGAACCGAAATTGCATGCATTGTGTGCATTTATGGCGCAGCCCCATCTAGTTGAATGAGTAACTTTGCAGCTTAAAAGGGGAACAATTGGAGGGGTGAAAGCACAGCTCAGCCATGTGTTTTTAACATCCCCCAACTGCAAGGATATCCGTTTATTTAATTACACGATAAATGTGTTTGTTATTTTAAAGTGCCAATTAAAGGGAAAAGTCATTTTTGGAAATAAAACCCTTAGGGCCCTTTCACACCCAGGGTCCGATCGGGATCGCTGTCAGTTTTTCAGATGGACCCGATGGGACTCTCCAATCACCCCTATGGACTGGCAATGTAAACGGATACCTGTCTGTTTACACCTGCCTACTTCCAATCCGATCCAGTCAGCTATAGAAAAAAAAATTGGAGGGGTATTGGATCAGATGGCAGCAGAGTCTGTTACACCTGACTTCCGTCCGATCCGATCCCCCTCCAATTTAATCTGTTTACACCTTATCACCCATAGAGCAGAGCGTGCTGCATCCAGGTCCACTCTGCATAAACTTAGCGGATACAGACCTGTCATCCGCCCTCTCTGCTCCAATCACAGAGGATCTCATCAGAGTCTGCCCCATGTGAATGGGGCCTTATGGGTTTCACACATCGTTTTTTATTCTATATAGCCTGCGTGGGTGGTGATGTGTAAGAGTTGTGTCCTTTGCCTGCTAAAGTTGTCCCTCTTTCCCATCTCAGAAGGTTGGGACGTATACCTTCCACCAGGCACCCAGGTGGACTTACCATGAACGGTCTCGTGGTATCCCTTAGTAAAAAACTGCATGGCTTTTGCAGCTCTCAGGGGGGTCTTCAGCAGTCCATCTCTTTCGGGGTCCTCGCCCAGCTCTCGAAGGATGGCATTGTAGGCACCTTCTAAAGCTGGCAGCTTCTCCTGATCAAACTGCTCCGTTTTGCTCTGGTTCATATTTTGCTGCATCAGAGTTTTTTTTTCACGTCCATGGTGCCATTGGTGTGGCTGGAGATATAGTTGCAGTTGACTTCTCCATTCACGTGTGTGTTCATGATGGCAGCCCAAGAGGATGTACTGGGTAGCTGTCAGTGATGGATCAGGTACTCTGGACAGACTGTAAAGAGTAGAATTCATCCAAGGGATGCCCCTGCTATTTATACCTAGTCATAGCATAACGGCCAATCCATGAGGAGTAGCATTAATGATGTAGCTGTCAAACGTTACACTGGAGTATTCATTTTAAGTGTCATGGCTCTTGTTCCCTCAGGCTACAGTGCAGATGACTGGAAGGAGTAAGATGCCTACTAAACAGGTTAGCTATGCTGTTCATCCTGATCAGCCTGACTACCCATATGGCCTTTCATTCATTTTGGGCTTTCACAGTTTCTGCAATTAGCACGCTGATAATGTGCGTCAAACACATGGCACGGTCTCTCCAAGGTCTGTCTGCTGGTTATCACCGCTGAATCACTGGAGTGGATGGAATAATTGCTCATCTCTTAGGAAAATGGAAAATGTTGCATCTCATAAACCAGAGCAGAGGTGCTCCATTCTGGCCCTCCAGGCCCACATCAGAGATATTAATGGCTTTCTGGTAAGAGATTTCACATCATGTCATTTGAACACATTGATTCCAATTGAAGCAACCACCTGCGAACAGTCAATGAAAGGACATCTATATTGGCAGTGCTTGTGAGCTACTATGGTGTATTGAAATTCATTTTATACTATTAATAAATATTGTTCTTGTGGTTCGCTTACACTATACACATTCCCATATTCATGTGTAGCTCTAATCAATATTATATAAAATTGTGTCACGCTCCACTGATAATCACAATTATATTAATGACCTTATGTGACAAAATATATAAATCATATAGTGATTTTCAAATGACCAAATTATAATATGGAAAAATTACCATAAACCGTAAAGAGTGCGGTGTAAAATTACTCTGATTTTAAAAATATACATTAAGTGATCAAATTGAATATAATCAAATTAAATAAGTATTAATCAAAATAAATATAATTATAATCAAAAGTCCACTTCGTGATGATTTTGCAAATAGTGCTCCTTCTCCTCTATGAGCGCACCTTATTTTTTGACCAAACTGTTAAGTAACTCCAAAACAACTTGTGTCCCTTATATGGGCTAGTGGGTAATTTTCAGACTGTATCCTTACCCCAGATGGATGGATGTAGTAATATGCTTTTTCCACAGGGGGTCTTCTTTCCCTCCAGAGCCCCGTTATGCTGGATTAGCCTCCCTGGCGGTATTCCCGAGTGTAGCTCGGGGTAAAGTTTCAGTACCAAAAGCGGTAACCCCGAGCTACACTCGGGCTTACCATGCGGCGTTGCTCAGGGATTCCCTGCAGCGCTTACCTTGTCCTTCGCTCCCGCATCTGGCTTCCGTGTTCCGGTCCCTGTGACGTCGGGATGTACGGGCGCCGGAACCGGCGGCAAATTTGAAAATTAAAAAAAAATGACATTTTTTTTTAAAACGATTATTTCATAGCAAAACATTCCTGTATCAAACCATTTCACATACATTTTGTCCCGAGTGCTTTGTCCGGCGCCCTGCCTGCATTTTGACTGTTCTTTCTGCCTGGAAACTTAGAAAAGTCCACGGCGTCCAAAAAGCGTCCCTTTAGGTCAAAATCGGTTTTCGACCGGCTAGAGAACAGCGATAGTAAATTAGAACCGCTTGCAGAATTGAGTGATAATGATTCGTGGGGGAAATTCGTCATCAGACACTGAAAACAATTTTGCGACTTTGCTCAGCGATGTGCGAACTTGGGCACTATATTTCAAATTTCAGTGTTTTTGGTTTGATATTATTGAATTAAATTTATTATTATTATATTATTATTTTTTATGAGTATTTATTCAATTATAATTTATGATTTCGTGTTTCAAGTTTTATCATATCCGGAATGTTTACTAGACTCTTGTTCGGACAGATTTCAGGGAGTTATTCCTAAATTACAGGCCTACCATGAAAAAAAATACATATTTCCATGCAAAAAAATGGTACCGCTTTCAGCACCAAAAATCTGAAATAATCATACCGCTAGGGAGGTTAAGATGGATGGATGGATTTCTCCTTCTCTCCTCCAGGGGGTCTTTCCACTTCCAACAACTCCTCTCCTTATTTTTCCTGAGGAGGAACTGCAAATGTCACCGTTCTCAAGTCAAGTTGGCAAAAGTCATCTGTGTAAGGCAGTATCCAGAAAATCCCTTGTCTTTTCCTGTAATGAACAGATAACTGTTTGTTTTCAGCATGTCCTGTTTTTCTATGGCAGGGTCTGATTCAGCAAAAACTTACCAGTCCCTTGGTCCAGCAGTGTCCTCACCACCTCTGGTTTCACTGGCCGTCTTCTCTCCCTGGTGCTGGCATCTTCAGTGTGGGCACCCGGCTATGACAGCTTGCGGCTTCAGTGCCCACTGCACATGTGCGAGAAGCGCTGCACTTTGTGAATGGTCCTGTAGTCTTCTGGGACCTGTCATGTGTCCCATAAGACTATGGAGAGAGAGGGGAGGAGGACAACTGCTGCTTCCGATTGCCTAGGCGTTCGCAGCGGAAGTAGGAGCTGGTACCTGGTCAAATTCTGATACCCTCTCCCTCCCGCTCCCAAAAGGTGCCAATCCTTAATGGGGAGCGTGAGACAAAGGCTTAAAGCGGAACTTCTGCTCTAGGTGGAGCTCCGCTTTAAATACATTATAAAAGCCACAGGCGCACTTACAATGCGTGATTAGAGGCAATTACAAAGCAGCAATGCCCTCCGTACTCTGTAGGCAGTATTCTATGTATCTCACCTTAATGCGAAGCAACGCCAATCCTCAGGGCCGGTTCACACTATAGAAATCCAGTCCAAATGTGTTCCAGATGCGTTTCTGCATGCGTGGTTTTAGCATGTTTTTGGAACATTCCGGTGCGTTTTTGATGCTTTCCAGTTCATTCTTCCCTTCTCTTTTTCGTTAATATAAATAGGGACATGTGCATTCCAGTGTGGTTTTGGTGCATTACAGTGCGTTTTTGATGCGTTTACCATGTTCCAGTACAGTTCTGTGCAGGAAAAATGCAGCATGTTCTACTTTTTTTTCTGCATCCGGAACGCACTGGAACTGCAAGCACTAATGTGAACTATGACATTGACAACCATATCACCTACTTTCTGTGCGTTTTGGATGCAGATAAAAAGAACATTGAAAACGCATGTAGTGTGAACTGGTCCTTAGTGTGTGTACACCTCCATCCGCTCCTCGTTTTAACAGTTGTGAGTAGCGTTGATAGGCGGTTTCAAAAGAGATGAAAAAATGTGATCTATCTTCAGTGACTGTTTGAATGAGATCTCCAGTGCAATATGGCATCCTGCTGGCGCTTCGTACTATATTGGTGTACGGAACACCCCAGAAATATCATTACCTGCTGTTGTGATTGGCTCACTGATTTTCCCAGGAGTCTGCTCCAAGATCAAAGTCAGATTTTAGGCATCCTCTGCAACAAAAACATTTTCTGTTGATGTGCTCTCAAAGGGTTAATCACTTCCAAAGGAATAATAAATCACAGTGCAGCGCTAAAAAATATATTTCATCTTTTAAGGTGCCTCAACAATGAAGTAGATGAAGTTCATAGATAAATGATTATGAAATATATATAGAAATGTTCCAAAAGTGACAACAGTGCTCTGAAGGTGCCTGCTTCAATGGTATTCCGGTGCTTGTGCAAATGGATATAGTAAAATTGCACACTCGATGCGCAACATAAATTCGCATATAGATCCAGATGTCCTCTCAAGGAAATCAGGGTAGACCAAGTGGTGGGTAATCCTCCCTCTGAAGGGTAAGTGGCACATCAGATAATTCCAGGGCTTTATGATGATCCAAATCAGCCAGAGGTCCCCTAAAGGGTTTGGTGGGTGTAGCTTCCTGGATACCCAGGAGATTCCCTCTCTGGGTACTGGGATGGATCTGTGGTCTTGATTGAGCTTCTCCTCAGCACAGCTCTGTCCTCTCCTCCACCAGAAGCAATACAATAGGGATAAATGAAGCCGTGGACAGGGATGGAGGAGCCTGCCGTGGGGAATCTGGGATTTGTAGTTCTAGAAGGCCCAGAGTCCTCAATCGGTGCACGAGCAGCAGACTACATCTCCCAGCATGCCCCATACAGGGGTCACTGATCCAGCTGGTGGAGATTTATGGTTCAGGGATGATGTCACGGTGCGGGCGGCTCTGTATACGGGGATGGGTGGTATTATGGGGTGCCAGGCCGGTCTCAGTATCAGCCGATGTAACAGTGACGAGCACCACGCCTCGACTCTTGCTCATCACTGTTACACTGGCTGATACAGAGACCGGACTGGCACCCCATAATACCGCCCGTTCCCGGATAGAGCCGCCCGCACCGCGACATCATCCCTGAACCATAAATCTTCACCAGCTGGATCAGTGACCCCCGCGCGGGGCATGCTGGGAGATGTAGTCTGCTGCTCGTGCACTGATTGAGAACTCTGGGCCTTCTAAAACTACAAATCCCAGATTCCCCGCGACCGGCTACTGACCATTTAGCTCAAAGAAAATAAAACCGTAGAAATAAATTATAGTTACCATAATAAGTAGTCATCAGACACCAAGATTCAATTCTAATGGGGTTCCCACAAAAGGCCAATATGGCTGGTGCATATAATATATCATGGAGCCAAGCAGTAGACAACATCTCTCAAAGACAGGGTCTTTAAATAGCAAGAAATGGCGCCATGAGTGGTGTTATGATCACACTGCACGTACGTCTCGTGACGTCACCATGCATACGTCACACAATTGCCAAAGCAAATGTCACTGTGGACACAATGCATAGCAGCATTTGCATTGGCAGAGCAGAGTAGGACTGGCCAAAAGGGATTACTTTGATGCAGTTGGCCAGTTTAAACATGTATTGCAATATATAAATG